ACACACGCACACACACACCAGCACACCATTTTCCCCAGACGTCGGTTAGCCCCCAAAAGCATCGAAAGTTGAGTTTACTTTGGCCAGATTGAGGGTCTCATCTTGACTTAGGCTTCATTCGTGTTACTGGCCCATGGCTTTTTAGACCCGCAGCTTGTTAGGCCCTCCTCAAAAGTAATGTAACATATAAGATGAAGTTGATAAATTGGAGGAAGGTACTTACAATATTCTAGTTAATAAATTCAAGAAAAATTCATTTTAAAAATATAATTCCATGAAAGCCCAAAAATTGTATTAAAACTTATCAGAATTTCATTCTTTCATTTCTTTATAGTTTCTAATATTTTATATCTTTTATATCTATTTTTGTAAAGAAGGTTTTATTTTAATTCTCTTGTAGTTCTCCAAAGAGCATTCAAATTGTGTTAATCTCTTGGTTTATTTTCGAAACTCCAAGCATCCAAACAATTCGAGTCGAAACAATAAATAGTCACGCATAATCTCCAAATGGAGGACGGACTAGGCCCAGTTGAAGGCGAAAAGCCCATGTGCCGCTAACGCTAATGCTGCCGCTTCTGCTTGGCAAACTGTGAAACTGATAGAGTGGGAAACTGGCTAACTGACTAACTGACTAAGTGGCTAACTGACAAACTGACGGCAGTTTCACGGCCAGAGACCGGACCCAGACCCCGTTCATAGGCATAGTTTGGATCGCAGAGTGAAAAGCAGCAGCAGCAGCAGCGGCAATGATGTTGTAGTGGCTGTTTGAGTTATTCACACAAATTTCACGCCAATGGACGCGCCGCCGCTCCGATCCGTTGAATGGCCTTTGGAAATGATTTCTGCTTGGCAACAATTGCAAAAGCCATGGCGAAAAACAATTTCAACCGCAGCAAAACATTAGAGCAGCAACAGCAGCAGCAGCAGCGATTGCGGAGAGAGAAAATCTGTTTGGCAACAACTGTGACGAAAAACTTGGGAAAACTGTATTGACAGGCGAAATTGGTCACAGATTTGGTGAATGGTCTCTAATTGGCATTAAAATTTAATCAACTGAGAGCATACAAAATTGACTCATTTTAGATTCGGTAAGAAAACAACTGAATAGAAAATTCCTAACAGTTTGTTTTTCAGTTGAAGTCTTTTATTATTTCTTTCTTTTTAAAGAATATTTTTAAGGATCTAAACTTCCTGGTTTATAACCTTAATTTCTCGGCTTTTCTGTAATCATTTTCCTCGCCTTCATGATCATCATCCCGATCATTAAACAACTTGAAATGACAGGAGAGGGGCAAACTATTATTAACTCGGAGTTTGACTCTTGCGACTTTCACGCGCGACTTTAAACGCTGGCAAAACGCATCGCTGCACAAATTTGCATTTGCTTCAAACACATGCGAATAATACCAAGGCAGCCAAAATGGAAAGCAGCGGCGAAAACTGCAACAACAACAATAACAACAACAACAAAAATAACTGACAACTGTCATAAACATAACTCGGGCTCAATTGAGCTTTGTTGTTGCTGTTTTTCGTTGGCCAGCGCCTTCATTTGGTGATATCGCTTGAGCATATCACCGCATAACGATTTCCCCGCCCCCCGAAATCCACAGGAAAAAACAAAAATAAATATTCGAAAAGAACTTTTTAGATTAAAGATGATTTCAAAATTAAGAGCGATCACAAAAATCTAGAAAAGTGTGAAATACAACCCATTTTAATAACACACTTTATAATATTACTTAACTTTATCTGTAGAGTTCTAGTTTAACGATTCCATATTTTAATGATTTTTTTTTTCAGTGCACTGCAATATACCATTCACTTGGCTTTTGTTTCCTTTTTCCTCTCTTTCTCCTATCACCAACTTTGCATTTTGTTGCTTTTGTTTCGCTGCACAAGAAAAAAAAACCGTATATAGTGCCTTCTCTATCTGCAACTTTGTCTTTAATGATTTCTCCTTCGAACAAATTTCTTGTTACCTGACTACACCTTGGCTTTCCCCCTGCCTCCCTTCCACCCTCTCGGGTTTTGCCTGCTTTCAATTTTTTATGTAATAGTTTATGAGCTGAAACAATACGCCGCTGGCTGCCTATCAGCCTGACGCTTTCTTTGTACCCAAAAACTTCCCCAAGAAACTTGAAAAGAAAAAAGTATCTCATAGATAGCTGGCATTCGCACATGTGTGCGTTGTTGTCATTTTCCAAAGGGGATTTGCGATGGTAATGGCAAGAGCTTTTCCGACATTAAATTGAATGTGAGCAGGATTCTCGCCAAACGAGGTGTACCTACAATGGGAAATTGAATTTGCTGTTCAGCAGGAAGTTTCTTTTACACAAAACTAACAAAATTGATAGACCTGAAAACTTAATGAAGTTGTTTATCTATTGTTACAGAAATTTGTACTTAATTTCTTTCAATCAACAAATTATTCATATAATAAACATTAAAAAGGTTATTCGTCTACTTTTCTCTTTATTTTTTTAGGAATGAAATACAAGACTTATTTTAATTAGATTTTTTTGTTGGCCATAATAAAAAGCTTATGTTGTTCTTCTGCAGCAATCGAATTCTGTTATTGTGTCAGCTTAATGTTTTCGCCCAAGCATTTCCAGAAAACTGCGACAGACCTAAGGGCCCGAATCAATATTGATTTGGGTTTCCGCCCAACAGCCCAAGGCGAAAATTCCCGAAAAATAGAAGAAGAAACAGAAAAAAAACCCAGTTTCCATATCCATACGACGCGTTTATGGGAAGATGTTACTTTTAGTTTCGCCGCATTTTCCCCACTTTCCTCCTGTTTGTTTGTGTGTGTCTCAGTTTGGTGAAATTTTTGTGGAGCATCCATTTGGCTTATGGGAAAGTTGCATTTGAATTGGCCAAAAGTGGCCAAGAGGCAGAGAATGTGAACGTAATTGATGAGCAACAGAGAAGAGTAGAGAAGAAAACAGGTCGTTAAATGGTAGATAGAACAAGGAACATGCAAACCATTTTCCATTGAGCCGTTTTCCCATCGTTACTGTTTCCTTTCTAAGCTTCTCTTAAAAACTAGACAAGACTACAAAGTATACCAAAAGAAAATCTAATATCTTTCAGTTTATTTTATTTTATTATCAAAGCAAGGTAAATTCAATATATAATACAAATAATGTTGTGAAAACATTACCCAACTCCCGCTATTCTAAAAATTCAATTATAGATTATCTATAGCCGCAAACCAAAAGAAATCAATCAATCATTTATTGAGCAGCTCAATCATTTTTTCCCAGCCAAGTCAGTGGAATTAGGTGTCGTATGCCCTTTGGCTAAATTGAAAACCTGGCCCTAATCTCGGTTTTAGCCGTGTAAAATCGCTTGCAACACTTAACACACGAACAAACACACACAGCGATTAGTTCGGGTTTTCGGTTGAGTAGGCAGCAAAAAGCACAAACTTTCATATAAGTGGGCGTCGGTGGGCGTGGCCAATGGGCTTAGTTAAGCCAGTTGAACTACTGTAAAAACGATGGCGCCAAGTCAAAGTCGTAAACTTGAACATGACTGCCAAAAGGTTTCTATACTCTCCACGGAGGTATTTTAACAACTTGGTGAAGGTTTTCACCTGTGAAATATTATTGGATAGTAAAAGGTAACATTAAAACATAAGTTTAGATAAGCAGGTCTTTACCTTTTTTATTGAAACAAATATACGTTATTAAATCTGGGTTTGAAATGTGTTTTTTTATCTGAGCAAGAGTATCTACACATCGGCACATAAAAATATTTATTGTGCTTTTACCGAGTATTTAGTACCACAGCATATGTTAACATAGGTTTTTCATTTACCAGTTTCTTTTTCTTGCAGACGTTTTTAAGTAGGTTGGTTTTGTGCGTTTGGGGGTTTTGGATACTCCGTTGTCTCACGTAGCGCTAAATGTGTGCATTTTAATGATCCAAATTATGGTTACTTTATTGCGTTATTAATAACATTTTGATTGCATCACGTACGCACGCACTCTTCCCCAGTTTTACCCTCCAGACCTTAACATGAAAACCAAAACATCAGTAAACACCGAAGAAAATATGGAATACCTTTTTAAGTACAAATAATTCCAAATAAATATAAAGGTTAATCAAAAATAAATTCAATAATAGGTAAATAACAATTTAAAAATTTTAAAAATATTTTTTTCTTGAATACATGACATTGGAAACCAAACTGCATTTTTGGATAAGTATCTGAACAATTTTTAAGCCCCTGAAGATTACCCAAAATATTTTCCAGTGCAGGCCAGAGACCAAGACCAAGAGCAAGACCAAATCCGATCCGATCCCGAGCCCGAGCTCTTGGGCTGTCAACGCTCTTCTTGGCGCTCCGCTCACGTTTCGGTTTACTGGCCACGTAAATGGAAATGGCATGGAAATGGGTGCAAGGTGTGTGTGCGTGTGTCCGCCGGGGGAAATCAGGGTGTTGTTGGTTGTGCCGAACTCCTCCTTGGATTTCGGTTGTCTCTTCCACTCGAAGGGCATCCCAACACCACAAAAAGAAAAAAACCAAGCAGAAAAAAAAAACAGAAGAAAAGCAGCAGCGAAATAAGTCTCGCGTTTGCAGCTGTAGAAATCGTGCTGAGCTGCAGCCTTGGCTTCTCCACTTCCCCACTCCGACTTCTTTTCTCGGTGTGTCTTATCAATGTTTCATTTTTAGCTTTCGAGTGCCGTTTTCAGTTAATTTTCCGTTTCTGTTATTGAATTTTTACAACTGCCCGAAGTGGGTCAAAGATACAGATACAAGACGAGACGAAGAGGCTTCAGAAACCACTGTGGCCGCCGCTGACATCGTCACATAATAAAGAGAGCGGCGGCGGCGGCGGCGGCAACGGCGGTAATTTAACGTTCATTAATGTCTGGCATAATTTTCGGTACTTCTTCTTTTGCGTGCTGCAACGGCCGATGAGGAATGTTTAAGCCAAAAGGAGCCCTCGAGAGCACAAGCCTCGCCGACGGCAGCTGCCAAAAGTGGATCGAGTATCGGCGAAAGGCTTCAGGGATTTTTTAATTATATTCCTCAGCCAGACATTCACAAGTTGGGTGTGTTTTCCGAAACTATTATAATTTTATTGGTTTGAAGACATTGGTAGACTCATAAATAATTTAATTATCTGGTAGCACGATAGCAAAAACAAAAACACTTTAAATGTATCTCTTCTTAAGGTCATCTGAATGATTTTGTTTCTACAAATTTTAAGAAAATTTGTCAAGAAATATATTCTGTCAAATATTTAACCTGCACAAAAGCTTTAAATATTATAATGGAAATCCGAGAAATCTTCTTTTAATATTAACCAACACAAACATTCTTAATCTGGCTTTGTAAATATATTGACACAACCCCAAAATAAAATTCAGCAACTCGAAAAATCTTCTTCGCTTATTCTAATCTCCAGAAGGGCCTTCAATTTGCATTTACATTGGCAAACCAAGACAAAGCCGGAACCGGCGTTTCTCTGACGTCATTGGCAAACAACCGGCTTAAAACAAAAGGGCAAAACCAGGGAAATAAAAGTAACCGGGGAAATTCAGACCAGAACCTCCTAACCAGAAAAACCGAAGGGAACGGGTTGGTAGAACAAGTTGGGCAAGAAGACAAGTACGGAATACCATATAACTTTGACTACAAGTTGCCCATCAGCGAAGGGAACACAATACGTATCGAAATGGGTATCCCGGGGTGGAGGAATCCGAGGAAGAGTCACATGGCTCGGCACGGGGCACAACAACAGAAACACCAACAGAAACGTGCAAAAATATATAGTAAGAAATGGAGGGGTTTTAAGAGGGGACGCGCCGGGGCAATCATTCTCAGAGTCGCTGGCAACCTTGGAAGTTATTTTCAAGGTGTGCACACGCTTCAAACGGAAGAGGTGGAGGCAACACACACAGCGCTGACAACAAAACCAAACTAGAAGTTGTTCAAATGAAAAGAAATATAAATAAAATGAAATAACAAGAGGAGGCAGAATCAGCCCATACAGAGCATAATTTATGGGCGGACACGAGCTGAATTTTGTAAGGGGGAAAAAGGGAGAAATACTCCGTACCTTCATGCAAAAATTCCCCCAAGATACTCATACTTTTCGCAGGAGTTGATAAACTTCCACACAAAATATCACAAAGAGCCGTCAGTCACCGGGCCATTCGACTATTATTTGTTGTTCATAAATATTGACAGCAATCTTCCGATTCGCATGTGTTGTTTTTCATACCCTCGACCAAAGCCTTTGAGATTTATTGCTTTACTAAAGCAATATAATAATGAATTCGCATATTTGCTGGTAAGCAAATTCTGTAAAGATGTTAAGCAAATAAATAAAAGGATAAAATGCTTAACCCTACCAACAATTTATTTTCTTATATGAGATACTTATGAGAAGTTTATTTTGTTTTTGACTTGGATTTTATTACGCTAATCTAATTATCACATTTTATATATTTTTAGGGTCTAATTCTTTAGAGAGTATTTGCATATTCGCATTTTAGTTTCTAGTCTCTATTTTCTTTCAAACGGTTTTCATTTTATTTTCGCGAGTACACAAATATCCACTTTTTTCTTGTTCTGTGTCTTTATATACTTGGCGCTTTAGTTATTCGCTTCTTTTCGCAGTTTTTTCCTCTTTTTTATTGTTTTAACGAACTCAGGTTGTTTTGACCATGAACCCATCATAAGTTTCAAATGGCTCACGCTTTTATTTCATTTCATTTCATTATTTTTTCCTCGGCGAGTTTGGGGCAATGTTTGCGATAGAATGTGTGTTTGGGGCTCCTCTTCGTATTACCGAGTGGGTTCGCTCACTTTTTGCCTTGTTTATTTAAATGGGCGGACTATTTGAACTTATTTGACTCCGTTTTCACTCCGTCTTCTTTTTGAACGGTTCGCTCCCACTTATTACTCCAAAACGTATTCTTGGCCATATAAATTTGTCATAATTTCGTTGGTTAGACGGCATAATTAACAAGCTCTCTGGCTGTTGACCGAGCCAGCTTTTCGTGAATGTATCTGTAGGCGAGTATCTGTATCTGAATATCTCTGTGTCGGCGGTGCGTGTATTTGCTTAGTAATTATAGACGTTAGAAGTCGTATACACAAACATATATGTATATATAGAGGCGTCTGACTTGTCCGGGGCATTAAACGTGCCATCGAGTCGAATTTCTCAAGGTTTAGGGCGTTCGTATTCCAATGGCCCCGAGGCTTAGTTAAGGCTGCTTTTTCTCTCTTTTATATATCGCTGCAGGCCGAAATACAATGAAGAAAAGATTGCCCCTGATGGCCATTAATTTGAAATAACTTTGAAATTGGCGCACGGGAAGAAAGGGACCAGAAGTGTTTTTGCGGGGGATTTTAAGTTGTCGAAATTTGCATAATTTGTAGGCCCAAGTGTTGGCTTAACTTCAAATCAGGCAAAAAGGCTAAAGGTGACCTTTTTATTCAAGTTAAGAAGATTGCTTTTAAGGCAGTTGAACTTTAATAAATTGCATTATTATAATTTTCTTTGTCAAGTTTAGCTGGGTACAAGTAAATAAATCCCCGAAAAAAAGGTTTCCCATAATTTTTCTCGGCCGTTTATTTTCCCATGCTTACCCAACCTTAAGCCTTTATATAATAACCCATCACTCTTAGATCAGATCATCTGCTTAACCCCATTTACTTACACCGACGCCAAAGTAAAGTCAATTGTCAACATAAATGTCATCGGATGACAAACATACCTGGAACGACAAGAGTTAAAGGTTTACAACCGATTAATAAAGGTTCACAACAGGGGGAGGGGAGGGGAATATCGCGACATGTAAGGGAATATTTAACAACATAAATAACATATTGTACAATGAGTCTCAACAGTTTTGCAGCCTTTGCTTGATAAAGATCGCATTGTGCATTGTTTTGTTTTGCTTTTTTTTTTTTGTTTTGTATTTTTTTTGTACACAAAAGGGGGAGAAGATCCCTGGATGACATGCAGCACCATAACCACCGTGAAGTCAATTGAAGTTGCTCACATACAATGGCAACTGCGAAGGAAGCGAAATTAAATAAAAGCGCAGACATCGACGACGGCTGCAAAAAGCAGATCAACATAAAATGAAAATAAATCAAAAAACTTCGCTTTTTTTATTTCTGCATTAAAGCAACGGGAACAGCAACGACATACAGCAAATAATACAAAAAAAAAGTTCGTTTCTTGGTCCGCTGGCTGCTGATGCCGAATGAAACTTTTCACCATTTTGCATAACAATTTGTATCTTTCAGTGGAGCGCGTTAAAGTCATACGGCAAAAAAAAACGGAGTCAAGGGTCCAACTTTTACTCGTTGCTCAACATTAAATTTTTGCAAGGGGACAGACCGGAGAAAAACCATAAAAAGGGATTGGGATGCGGCACAAAAGGGGTCTCCTTCGATAAGGGGCAACCCTGAGTTGGAAACCCCCCTCCTCGTAACTTCCCTTCCCTTGGATTCATCTGAAGGATGAATGTGTGCCCCTCAGTTCCAACGGTTTGGGATGACTGCCAAGAGCCGAAAGATAGTCAGATAAAAAGATACATCCACACAGAGGCTGCGTTGCGCAACTTTAGGAAAGTTGAAAGTTCATTTTAAAGCAAAACGGAACTCGAGGTGGGATTTAACTAATTTAATGTGTAAGCAAATGCTGTGAATTCAGCTTTAAATAATTAATAGTAGCGGAAATGGGCTTGCCTAAAAATATCTTTTAGGTAATATGTGATATATCTTAACTAGAGCAAAGAATTCAAATTTGTTTCCTGATTTCAACATGAATAATATTATTTTTCTAGTAAAAAAATAATCAATTCGAATATATATTTTAGCTCTTTTAAGCTTTAATCCCCACTGTTCATGCTAAATAATGTGTGGAAAAGGCGTAACGCTCCGAAATTAACTCAAGCTGTCGACAGAGCCGCAAACGAAGCATTTGGTCAGAAGGGGAAACAGGGAACAGAACTGCGGATAAAGAGTCGAAAAAAGGGCATGAAAGGGGTTCCGACAGAAGGAGATTCCCCCGGTTGCTGGCACTCGAGTTTCAATTTAAATGCAACTGACATTAAATTTACTACTTTGCCACACTACACGCCACAAAGACTACTACTGTAAAAGATGTGCCTGCCACAAGAAAGAGACGCAAACAACAGCGCCAGAGAGAGAGGGCAACACAAATAGAGGGAGCTGGAGAACAGGATTTGTGTTCGCCGGTGGTTCTGCTGGTTCCACTTCCCTTCTCTTTCTCTTAAAAACACACAAAGAAAAAGTTTCTTTGTCCTAAATATATTTCCATAATAAATACATAGGAGTATATGTAATTCACCCTTTATAACTCCAGTGTTCATAGTTTAATGTTGTTCATAAAATTATCCTTATATTTATTTAAACAGAATATAAATAAAATCTATTTTTTCCTGTGCATTCAGGCGTTTACTCTGCGAGTTTTGCAACTAAAGTTGAGACTTTGGGTGCGGTAAACTAGGAGACGGGGGAGTTGTGAGGGGGTGTTGTGCCTGCACAGACATTGTTGCAGTATGTCTGTAAAATAAATTTAATGAACTAGCGCAACCATAAAGCTTAACTTATCAAGAATGCCAGGCTGCAGGGGAAAGACTCCAAACTGGAGTCGAAAACGAAACGAACCGTCGTAAAAACGCTGAAAAGGGGGCAAAACTTTAACATATTGCACAGTGGCAATTCCAATTTATCGATGGGCTTTAATGGGAAATGCTCAAGTTTTATTTTGTAAACACAGAAAGCCAAATGCTATACAATAAACAAATCTACAAGTAACTAAATTTATTTTAAGTTTTATCTACTAAGGCTCTTAGTTTTCGATAAGTGCATAGTTGAGATAACTGCCTTTTAAGGTATCGACACATTTCAATCAAACCAAATCCAGTTCAAATAATTTAAATAATTCCTTTCTCTTTCTCAACGCCATAAAATTGGTCAACCGATTTTCCCAATTTGAATAGTTTACGGCCTTTATATATAGTTTTAGAGCCACTGTTCGGCTTTCGGCATTACAAATACACAGACAAGCCCAAACAACCGACACTTTATGGTTAAACTCATTTGACTTGTTGTCCAATTGTGCAATAAACTAACAACGACAAATAATTGTGGAAAATGCTAATTTTTTAGGCAAAAGTGAAACACAACAAAAAAATTTGAAATGCATATCAGTCTAGAAAACACAACGCAATATTTTGCGTGAGTCAGAATAAGTTCAATAAACTTAATTCTGAAAGTGATCTAGTCTTCCCTCTTAACTTTTAACTTAAATGTAAGTACAGAGTATTAACTTTTTTCCTCTTAATAGGGTTTTGATTTAATAAAACCTCTCTGAAATATGTACCCCTTCCATTTGTCTGGCCTTTGTCCCTTTTACTTCTCAAGGGGGGAAAAGTCTAGCCAAACCAGACAATCGTTAATCCATTCATTGGCGAGTGGGTGTCAGTTGGCAGTCAGTTTGAACTTTTCAAATGGAATTTTAAACAAATGAAATCAGCGGCACACTGCAACAGCCACAAAAGATAAAGACAAGAGTCTCAGTCTGAGTCTGAGTCTGAGGCAATTGAGATGAGAATTGGTTGACAAGACAGCGGCAACAGCAAAAACAACAGTGGAGAAACACAACTGTCATTTGTTATTGTCTTTGTCCGTCACTTTGTTTGTCTGCTGCACACTTTATTCCACTCTAGATTGCAGTTAATGCACTTGGAGAAAAAAGAAAAATAACTTGGAAAAATTCACTATCAGTAACCAACCATATAGAAAGACTTTTCCCAATTATAAATATTAAATTTCCTCAAAACTTCTAACTTAGTTTATATTGGCTTTTTCACAAATGATTCTTTTAATCATTTCCGAGTAAAATATTTTGTCCAAGTGTCTTCTTCTCAACTAACCAAGCAGACAGCACCCACATTAGTTGGCTCAATAGTTTTGAAGCTGATTTCGTTGCCGTTGGACTTTATGATTTCCATTCATTTAGCGGCAAACAGGAAGAGAAAGTAATGCATTGCAGCGGCTTCAACTTGGTCTCTGAATTCGACTGTGACTTCGACTTGGTGACTCCGGGGCGCTCTCACTTCATAAATTTACCAGGCAAGGTGTCAAGTCAATGCCAAAGAGCCCGAGCTGAGGACGCAGCTGAATCCGAATCCGAATCCAAGTCCGAAGTTGAAGCTGTAGCTGAAGTTGGAGTTTCGTTTTGGTTTTGGTTTTGGGTTTTCATCTGTGAGTTTTGAGTTGAGGCTTCGCCAGTTGCTGGCCGCCAAGTGAATGACAGTTGCCACCTTGAAAACGGCTGCCGTTGGTTTTTGTTATTTTTATAGCCGTTGCTGCTGCTGCTGCCGCTGTTATCGAGGCTGCTGCCGCCGTTTTCTGCTGCTTCTGCGGCAGCTGTCGTCGGAACAGCGTCAAGCTTTCATTTAGCCAAAGTCAGAGGGAGAAAGAAAGAGGCGGTACACAAGGAAATAGATTCCAAATTCAGATTAGCTTATGAAAATCAAGAAAAATATCTTAAGCGATTTAGTATGTATTATAGAAATACGAAATCAGTAAAATGTTCAATCAGATTTGCGATCAAGACCTTATAAACAAAAGTTGGCCAGCACACAATAAAATATTACCTTTCTCTATTTCAATTCTGGTTCATGTGGCGTATACGTAATAAATATAATCAATCAAGTAGCCATACTTGACACCTTTCAGTAATTAAATATATTTATTTTATTTTCGTGTCACGTTACCATCTCCAAGTGAATCATCTAGTGGTAAAGTTAACGATGTTTCTTTTTGTTTTGGCTCCGGTGCTTTGCCATCGGCATCGTATAGTATGTGTGTTTGAAAGCAAATTTCATTTCTTCATTTGATTTCATTTCGCCGGCTGCCAGGCCACACCAGGCCATCAACTCCCCCCGTCGCAGATACTTTCCTTTACTTTCATTTGAGTGAAAGATACTCGAAAGACACGGCTCCCACTCTTTCGCTGGCTCTCTGCGAGATGGAAGAGTGCTCTTCGCGCCGCTGGACGTTTTCATTTTTTAGTGAAAAGGACCAATTTCAATTTCACATCGGCTCGCTTTCAAATATATACATATATCCACGAGATGCTGTGTAGTTAATTATATGTGCATGGCTATCTGGCAGCTGCACTCGCTCGCCGCTCATTTGTAAAAGTATCTTATAGATAAACAGGAAGTGAATGAGTTCCATTGGCCATGGATGCCGCTGCTTGTTTTTTTTTCTCCGCTTTTTTTTTGTTCACGCTTTTTGTTGCTGTATTTCATTTAAGTTTTCCTCAACAAAAATTAACTTTTACTTGCAATACGGTTTTATTTTCACTGTGCAGATTAGCGGAGTTTTTCAAATTGCATTTTCCAATGGGTTTTCGCCTATTCACGGGTGGGCGTTTTGGCCGAAAAGCGCTGGGAGAAAGGCTCGATTTAATAGCTTCATTGTAAGCCGAGTTGAGTTGAGTGAATGAATGAGGAAAAGTTGGCAAATTAAATGGCACGTTTGAATACAAAATGTACGACGATTTCGGATTTAATAAGCGACTGATTTTAACGCTGGCTAGAGCGGTATTAAACATCAAAACATGATAAATAGTTTTTTATCTTTGGGAACACAGATGTGGCTTTTAAAATTCACAATTTCATTGCGTGTTTAATGAAGCATGTTTTTCCCTTTAATATTTTATCAC